TGTGAGCTTAGCCTAGCTACGCCGTTATCGGTTTTTAACCAGTTCGTGATGATTTAGACCAGGGCTTCCCAAATGTTTTAATCAGCGTTCCCCTTACACGGAAAATATCCAAGGGGGACCCTCTCATACAAATATTTAAAATTAGATACTTATAGTATGTAGTAAATTAAAGTTATATAAATTGGCCAGCCCATTGCTAATTAGGTGATGGAAGGGATATCACTATGAAACAAACGTTAGATTGACGTTCTTTAATTACAAAAACCGTAGCTTAAAAGTCAAAATGGGCAGAACGGAATCGATACGTACGTAAATTCGACACTTATAATTTGAACATTAATGAGTAATGAGTTGATGGGAAGAGCGAGGTTGTATTAGCCTGAACTAAGCTGGAGAAGGGTGTCGGGTTCAGTGTTTAGACAGCTTCGGTATTATGTTTTGGTAGCTGTATAGATAGAAAATCCAGATCCGCATATAGAAGTTGGGACAGATGGAAGAAGAACAAGTTTTGCTATTTCAGTGAGTGGTTGAAATTTTTTGTTTTCCAGATGGAGCCAAATATTGGGGTAAGTATCGGAGGCAAAAGTAAATTTCAAGGTAAAAGTAATGTCTATTAAACGTTCGTATTCACATGAAAATAGACTGGTTGGCTTTGTCGAAACGGAAAACGGTTTGACCACCCGTTCATGGTCTTGCAGCTTTGGGAAGTAGTACTCAAAGGACATCTCCAAACTTCGAAGATGTTCACATATTTCATCAATCAAGGTGTCGTTCGTTAGCTCCTTTTCATTTTCTTTAAAAAAATAAAATAAATATATAAATTTAACAGGGGAAAACACTCCACCTCTTCCTTGTAAACTTTTTCAACAGATTCAACCCAAAACTGGATTATTCTTATGAAGGGGCGAACTTTGTCATTAGCATCGAAAGTGTGATACTCTTCCCTTGCAAAGAAACTCATCTCATTCATTTTCATGAAAATATCTGATAAATAGTGGTCACCAGAGATGAGACTTCAGAACGTAATTCCTGTAATCGTGAACGTGCTTCCCACGAGACAGCCACCTCACTTTTGTATGAAGAAGCAGGGAACCACATAGTATTGTGAAAGGTCGTGATTTCAACGGCTGCGACCTGATATACTTAATAATTTGAAAAGACTCATCCAAATATTTCTTAAAAGATGCTGGCATTTGTTTAATTCGTGGAGAACACAATGACTGGTGCTGCAATACTTCGGTTTATTTTTTATTTTAGAAATCCTTCCGACTGTTTGGCCATTCATTGCTTTTGCACCATCTGTATACACTCAATGGAATTTCGTTAATTGTAAAAATATCGCTCAACAAATGGATTATTTCTAAACCTGTTACATTGGCAGGAAGTGGTTTGCAAGTTAAGATCAATGAGGAAGATAAAAATAGGTAGTGAACTCGCGAGAGAAGTTTGAGCGTAAATCACATTTTCAAGAAACAACGGCTTTTTGTATACAACATTGGAAAAATCCAGGGAAGAAGCAGTTCTCGATAATGACGGACCCCAGTATCAACAATAGACTTCCTAGCAAACCGATCGATCGACCGACCAATCAAGTCCCATCCTCCTCACTTACCTTATGTGTGAAAAAATAAACATCGAGTGAGTAAATAAAAATAAAAAAACTTTCGTTTGCAGTACTCATTGTTATTAGTTTTTAATTGTATTTGTTCACTCTACGTTTATTTTTGTTATTATTGATATATCTCGAAGTTCGTCGCGGATCAAAGTTTGGGAGGCCTCAATTTAAAGGCGATGTTTAGTTTCATATTAATTGGATTTTTGCTCTATATTAATTACTGCGTATATAACAAAAAAATTCAACTGAGATTTTATATTAGTTGAGGGGGTATGTTAAAAGGAAAATTTATAAAAGCAAAAGTTTGATAGTCTTAAAGGTAACTACGTTTTGCCATTTTGCAACCTAATAGATTTAATAAGTAAAAATGAAGTATACCTTCACTAAAGCTCTCCGTGGCCATTTCATTTGTCGCCGAGAATCAACTAGATTACACGGCATTTGAAAAATGGCAAAAAGGAGGGAAAATTCAAAAGGTGGGGTTAAGATAGGAAGTTGGTGTCCGAGTGGATCGAGGTCACGATAGCTCAAGTGGTAGAGCAGCGGCGATTCTAGCCGAAGGTCGTGGGTTCGAATCCCGCTCGTGAGACTGACTTTTTTATCTAAACAAAAAAACTTAATTAATTGAAAGATATTAATTAGTCAAGCGGACCACGAAAACTAATGTATTAAATTATAAACTTGCGATATGCAAGTGTAGCATCACGTAGGAGCTTCTGTATTGTACTTAAATAGAGATCGTCACCAGATAACTGTAATTTTGCGTTTATCGAAAGAAAAATATTTAAAGAAATACTTCTAATTTAGTATCATTGTTTATTTGCTGTTTATTGGTGTTTATACGGTTTGTTTGAGTATTTGTGAGTAGGTATTTTTTTCCGTAGGGCTGGTTCATTTAATTTGGTAATTTGCAACAGGAAAAGGGCTTGAAATATTGAGTGATTTACGGTTTTGCGAAGGAAATTAAGGTTGCCCTCCCGAGAGTAGAAAACCGCGTTTACGAGATTCTTTGAAAAGATAAATCGTCGAAAATCAGGAAAGCATTGTACACTTTACAGCCAAAACAGATTTATTTCTACACGTCATGATGAATCAAAGTTATACACTTCATTGTATTTGAAAAAAAAACAAAATTCAGATAGTCCCATATGCATAAAAATCCTATCGGAGTGACTCCTTGAAAGGCAATGATTCCCGGAGAAAGATTTACGACTATTGGGTCATGTGCCTTTGAAAAACAATTTGCCATCCAGCCTCTGGATATACCGCTAGACTATGTGTCAACCTCAAAAGGATTTTGATCTCGGGCATCCCTTGTAGTAACGGGAATGGATTCTAAACTAGTAAAAAAAATTAAAATTGTTGCATTTTATTATTTTCCACAGGAGTATAAAATTTATAACTTACTAGCACCATATACTGGAGTACAGATTTGTGTAAGGTAGATCACATCATAGTACACATCACAATGGCATGATGTTCGCATGCTGTTTTTATATTTTAATTGTAATTATTAACTTTAGTACATTAATACTTGAGTATATGCAATTTCATGTAAATTTATTTGAGTACTTTTTACGAAAGTTCTCCAAGGACCACGACCCTGATGCCTATTTGGGAGAAAGTCGCAGACTTACGAATTAGTACGTTGAAAATTGATAGCATCGAATAACGAAAGAAAGAAAACTTTTCCAATTGGGTCAAAGGCTAGAGTCCAAGGTTGCCGGGACAAGTTGTAATAACTTTCTTTCCCGAATGAGGTCATTCTTATGCATTATGCAATTTTTCCGACTCTTGTTACAGTTGTATTGCATTTTCTTTCCCGGTAGAGATGTGGACATTAAGGAAAAGTATCCCAATGAGGTTTCCGTAGAAATCGACTTTATAATGATTAAAAGAGAGAGGTAGACAGAGGGAAATGATAAGCGTTTGAAGATCATTCTGTGATCGGATCGCGCGTTTATATATAGGTCTGTGAAGCAAGGCTTGCACCACTCCTCCACTTCACGAACCTTCCGATCTGACCTCTCTCGCTCTCTCCTCATCTTTTGAATCGCTCCTTCATCTTCTCAGGATTACGTAGAAATTGCGTAAAGGACTACCGGTGTATAGTTAGAGATCGGGTGGATAAAAAATTAATCCGGTCGTTTAACTTCACCAGGTGTTCATTCCTTTCCATCGTCGGTATCTATGGGACCGATGCACGCAGGTGGATCCACGATCACCTGTTTAACTCGTTTATGGGAGGTTTCACTACCTAATTGGAACATTACAGGCGCAACTGTTCGAAAAATATCATCTTTTTCCAATGTTATATTTAATTTACCCGATAATTATTGTTTGTTTTGTAACATAATTACGATAATTATATCACATTTTAAATCACCTTCCTGCAATTCTCGCTGTATTTTTGGTTTTGGCATATTCAGTACATGTACGCATATGCTGCGTTCTAACTTTCTGCGCGTTCTGACGTACTAGATTAGGCTGTATTTACATGAATCTAGTTTGTCCATTCCTCATGTTAATACTTCATCATAATTCGAACGTAAATAACACTCGCTAAAACACCAAATAATAATAATAAATTAACAGGTATTTCTCGTAAAAGAAACATTTCTGTGATATTTTTTAGAAAATCGGTTTAAAAAATTTGGAATGCCAATTTGTCGATGGGATAAGTTTTTATCATCAATCGTCTCTGTTCCGCCCATACTCGCTTATGGTCTGAAGTTGAACTTTGTTGGAAAGTTAAACTGCACCAACAGCGAATGAACAGACGGGGACCCAGACACAATTCATCTTAAATGAAGCAGTATATAGGGTGTTTAATAGGATTGTTCCCTTCTTTATAAATTGCTTTTAAGGGTTTTTGATTTAAGCACGTATATATACACCAACCTCTATAGTTGTAACAGTGGTTGGTTCAATTTATATATTTTAATATGTAATAATATGAAAAATATAAGACTATAAAATAAATAGCACCATTTTCATACAATTTAATGTTTTCTTTTGTATATTCACTACCACCTTGCCGCACAAGTTTATTTTGTGGAATTTTCATTAACACATCACTTTTTGTCATTATTTGCACTTAATTATTTTGTACATTAGTTTTTGTACTGTGTCCTCTCACGTTTATTTCTTTTTATACATTAGTGTTTCCTCTGTATATATAGCCAGTTGAATTTTGCTATTAGAGTAGTTTTTAAATTTTGTCACACTATTGACTGCTATGGATAACATCTGTTTGCTGTTCGTGCAGGATTGGTGTTTTAAACTTTAAATTTTAATAAATGGACAGGTGGTGGTTGTGTGTTTTGACGGTGAAGGAGATGTTAAACTGTTTGGAAACTGTGCTCATTTGGATTGATGTTTTAAGGTGATGTGGTTGGAAGAAGAGCAGCCGACGAACGTGCAGCTGCGGCATTCGGCCTCGTTCTCGTGCCTGCCGCGGCACAGGCCTCATCGCACAAGGACGTCCACCCTCCCCGACACCGATTACGGCTTCGTTCAGAGGTACGGCGCTCTTCCGGAAGAAGAGGAAGAAGCCGAACAGAAGAAAGACACCCTTAGAGAAGTATTAATAAAAAAGTCCGCCTCGTTACTTTCGCCCGGAGGATGGTGGTCCAAAAGGCAAAAACGAGAAGACGAGAGCACGAGGAGGTGGAGGTCCCTCGGGGCACTGCTGAGATCCGCGCCGCAGCCTCCGTCGCCCAGGGCCCAGTCGTTCTACCTCCTGGAAGACTTCCTCAAACCTCACACAAACTCTAGTTCGGACTCGCTGGAACTTTGCTCGCCTGTGCCACCCCCGGTTCCCCCGCCCCCACCGCCACTCAGATACCTGGGATACAGGAAAGTGTGCCAGTGCAGACATTGCAGGAGGGACAGAGACATATCTGTGCTCGCAAATGATACGGTATGATGACCTTTTCTCATTGGGTGTACTAACTACTAACAACCTGGTGGAGGAGATGAACTGAATAAATATCTACTAATCTAATTGAACATTCAAAATTCTCACATAATAATCGAAAAGGAATGAATACTCAGAAAGTAAACACGTTATAAAACGTAATTTTTCTATTACAGTAGAAGACAAATTGTGGTACCAATATTTTACAAGCTGAAAAGGACTATTTCCAATTTTTAAACGTATAGTTTTACTTATCTACAAATATCTACCAAAAATAAATTAATGCAGTATTGTAATCGTAAAGTAACTGCCTTGTTGTTCAGCAACTGTGATAAAAGATAAATATTACAATTATCCCTTTGTTGTTAAGGCAGTGTCATGAATGCGTTTACATAAAGCTGGGATAACCTTGGTCACTTGGTAAAGTTTTGTTCAAATTTTCTCGACGCTTTCATCGATGACGAGGATGATGAACGTAATTGCTTAAGGTCAACGGCAGACGAATCATGCTCTTCACATTCATAAGCTTCAGACCCTTCTAATTTCTTGGCTTTGCTGTGCCCCCACCCATTTTTGCGGATAAATAAATCATCTCATCCTCAGTTTAGTTTTCTCGATCACTAGCGACGTCGTTAAAATGATGGTGGAAAGAGGAGACAAAATCTTTTTCCCCTTCCTAAGAGCCCGTCAGGTATTATATGAAAATAAATAAAAACAAGCCTTACTAAGCTAATACGTTTATTCGTTTATTCAAGATACTTTCGAGTATAGACAGGAAAAAAATAAGAATTTTAAAAAATTCCCTTGACTTGGCAATGATTAAACTTGATATACCTATAATTATGCATAAACATATAGGCCATAGGCCATAAAAACAATGATATGATCATTTATTTTTTTTTTGCAGAAAATGAGCTAATTATATACAGGGTGCCCTTTTTAGATAGTTGAATTTTTCTCGGACCAATGACGCTATAAAAATAAAAAATAGTTTCAAATTTTCACTTTTTTTTGGAGAAAAATTATATAGGGTTCCTCAGGCCGAGTTCAAGTTCAAAATCTCAAATACGACCCTATTCACAGGCCTATAAGTTGACATAGCACTCATCGCTGTAAGGTAAAGGTCCCTGGTTCGAATCCAGAACCCGGTACACTAACAACGGTTTGTTTTTCCAAATCATCGACACCCCGAAGGTTGATATGACCTCTGCTGTTGCGAACCTTGGGGGGGAAAAGGATGGAAAACATACGTTTGCAAAATGTGATTTAGAGAAATAAAGGAATATGTAGTGCAATTCAGAAAACTCACAAAGAAGAAGGAAAAGCCACATTTTAAAACGGATGATTTGTGACGTTATGAAAAAAATTGCCTTGTAACAAATGTGGTACATTGCTTAATTAAGGGTGGTTAAAAAAGATTTCCAGAAATACTCTTTTTATATTTAGTCTCTATAATATATTAGAAGTTAATTTATTAAGCGATCTCAGTTAATTTTTTGTCTATTTCGATTCAAGATCGCCATTTGTGTTAATCGATTTTTTCCTTTTCTCTCTCGGTTCATAATCTTCGTAAGTCTGGCGTAGACGTATTGATAGGCTGGCTCATTTTTTTTTGAAAATATTTTTTTGTGAAATCTTCCTAGTCCCTCACTCTATAAATGGCATATGCTCTTTGGGAAAGTATTTGTTATCATATCTAACAGGCTGGCTATTCTTTTACATTTTAATATTGATTTTATATAATATAATGTCGAAATGTAAGCTTACTTCATTTGGTTTTGGTTGTACAAAGTTTACCCAAAGTTATCTCATTTACAGGCGGATTTTTGTTTAATGAGTATAAACTTTTCCGATAAACTTTGGTATAATTTCACCATAGAAACTTCAAGGCATTTTGCATTTAAAAGTAGATACCGTAAACCCTAGGAAATATTTAGCTTATTATTTATGTATTAACCATAAAGTATCGATAAAAGTGGGCTATTTTTTTTTCAAAACTCATACTTTATGAAAATATCGAGCCGGATATATTTCATCCCTTGTACTTGATGTCCCAAACGTATTAGAACGGAATACAAGGAGAGGCACTTAAGATAATTAGTTTTTTATGGAATCGAATAAGAGCAAAATGCCTCTTCTATAAAATGTTTTATATATTTAGGTTGTGCAAATATTTTGTGTCTTTCGGCCCACACAAATCTTGTCTTTTTCCCACCTGTGGGTTACTCGAACCCGACGTTGACCAGAAAAGGAAATTAGACGCGGAGGTGTTCCGAAAGACATCGGTCGTTATGTCCACGTCCTGGGGAACTAGGCCTACCGAAATTCACCTATTGTTGACCGATGAACCGAATAAAGGAAGTTGCCAAATGGGCCCTCATGAAAAATTCATCCCCTTTGTTAACTGCACTTGCCGTAAATTATGGTCTGTCCAGAAAATGCGGACCAGTCCCAAAATTGTATTGAACCGTAAAACAGGATACCAGTCCACCCATCTCGCACAATGTGACGCGTGGACACTGAAGAATTTTCAATAACCGAGAAAATCTTTTCAAACTTTCAGAATGGTTAGTGATATATGTTAAAAAGTTTTAAGGAAATTTAATTCACTGTATATGCTTGCATTTACGGGACTGAAATTCATACGTCTGCACATTTTAGACGTAATATCGATTTCACATATCTAATAATAGCATACGATAAACTTGTTGGTTGTTTTTATTTATTATATATTCATTTTGTAAAAAGAATCAATTACAGTTGTTTCTTTCGTTTGCCACGTGGTCTTCTTTGTCCTTTTACAAAAACTTTGTCCCTTTACATAACTTGATGGCGTTGATATTTTCTTGAGAACGTGTTAACAACTCGTAATTAGAACTTATAAAAAAACTTTTAAAACCAACGCTAATTATGTTGACCCGTTGAATAAAATTTCCTGGAAGGTGCGAAAGATAAAACACCATTACATGGTGTAATAAATCTTTGAACGTCCACAACCCCCTTTAGTTAATGTTTATTCTTAAAAGGCTTCCTTTGGTGATTTTCGAGTATTCCGTATCCATAACAGCATCGGCCGCCTGGCCGGAAAGGCAGTCGTGTAAATTGAAACTAATAATGCCCCGGAGTGCCTTCTCACACCCGCCTCCGGAGCAATTATGTGCACTTATGCTGCCCTGTTAATAAATTCTTCTTTTCACGCTCGACGCAACTGACGGCGATTATCATAAAAACTTTTGCCCGTTTCCAACGGGCTTTTAATCAATATAGTATGCGATGGTCATAAAAATTGCACTGCTTGTCAGTTTCACAGTTATTATTCTCAGTTTAATGTTCCAAAGCGTAGATTCAATTCGTCCAAATCCCCCCCCCAAAAAAAAAAAAAAAAAAAATCGACTGTGTTCTTACATTGGATTGAAAAGAAAGCTTACTGGTTAATAATTTGCATTGTACACCTCTTTGTTTTTCATATTATTAAATAAAATAAAGTCAAAATGTTTCGAATATAATTAAGAAAAGAAAACACGATGTTAACACTATTTATTTCTGACAAGTTGTTTGTAACAACAAGAAAATGCTCCTGGGAATATCAACAGTCAAAATCAAGTTTGAGTCAAAAATTATTATAAAATGCTAACGTAAAGGCTACTCAAAATAAAATCTGTCATTTAAAATTGGCATCAGATTCCCTTTCTAGGCCAAAAATATCTAATACTGAAGCTTAATTTGATCCTTATGATAGTAAAAGTTTCAACTTATCGTTTTCAAACAACGTTCCTTGGTAAAGGGTCAATGGATTGTCGTCAAGGTTATAACGGAGAGCATGGCTAGTCGCTGTCTCTTCCTTAATTTCAGTATATTTTGATGAAGAGATATTTACCTTTTTAACTGATCTTTTGAATACAAAATACTATGAAAGCAAGAAACAAAGATGATAGACGTTTATTCCAACCCAAAAAACCCATTCCAAAAATGTTTTGAAAAAAAAAATGCTTTCACTCCAAAATTTGCTGTCCAATTGCTTTCGATTTTTTCGACAATCATAAAAATGGTGATAACTTTGAGACAATTCTAATCTACAGGGAACTTTACAGAGCTTTAACACCCAATAACCTACACTCAATAGCATAAACATGGCCTCCATAAAAAAATCTGAACAACAATCAGTTGATACGGGCTCTAGAAGAAAACCGCAACTAATCGTTGCAATATCACGGATATTGGATCAAATCGACAAGAGGTTTAAATGAATTTTTAAAAGGAACTCCGTATATCCGAGAGAAAATATTTCTGGGTTCTAGCCTGAAAAAGTCTATTTTTTGTTTGCTTTAAAACTTCGTATTTAAATATTTTAAAATGTTCTTGAAATGAAACCGAATTATTCTTTCCTTCCAACTTTACTGGAAACTCCTGTTATTAGCGTAATTAAAACTTACTAAGAATAACTTTTTACGCGACCAACTTTTCTTCAATCCTTTTTTTAAAGATATTTATTGTTTGCTTTAACCTCTGACAATTCATAAAGATCTAACGTTGTCCCGATATTTTGTAATTCCTTTTTGTCTATCATTAACTTTAAAATATGAAATAATTAAGCATGAGTTAATCCTTCGAACGTCTGTAATTTTCACAACCTAAAAATGGCAAAACAATAAAATTCATATTTTGTTTTTGTTAATTATAATCAATGTTAGACCAAAATAAAATACAACTTGAATTCTTAAATTTAAATATGTCAAATATATAGGAGATATGTTATTCTGTACGTTGGAAAGGTTTGTGGGTTTTTAGTTATATTTGCTTTACTGTCCGACTCTGATCCCTGACCCGTATATTTTCTCTGTTTCGAAAATAAGCACAATTAAGCTACTAAAGATATTATATAAATACTTTAGTTTGTTTGGAGTTGTATTATTTTTGCCAGCCCTGTTTAGGTATGTTATGTTAGCCTACTTCTTAATATGATAATAGGTTCTTGGACATTATGAGTTTTCTAATATGGACGA